ATTGCCCCCCGCCCTCCCCTGCTGAAGGAACCGCACGCCATCCCGAGTGACTGACCCCCTCCAAAAAAAAATAAATAAATAAATATGGAGCTTTTAACAGATCCCTCCCTCATCCTCTTGGCCCCCCATTCAGGGAAGGGAAAAGGGGAGCACCTTCCCTGCAGGCCGATAGAGACGGGGATTTCACAGGAGAGTTTGCTCTGGCTCCAGCCCAGACCCCTTTGAAGCCGTGTTACAAAGAACATGCCTCCCTCAAGCTCCCTTCAATGCAATCATTACCGTTATCTCTGGCTTTTTTTCCCCGCAGTTACCAGTTGTGTTGCACACATCGATCCCTGTGTAGGACACTGTTTTAAGTCCGCTCGCCTTTTGAGTGCGCTAAGCCGTTTAGGAGATGACAGCGACTTCTATCAGTGTGAAGCTGATGCGATTCTTTTCAGATAAAGCACTTTTTTCCCTCCCTCTTCCCCCCCTTCCTCTTTTCAAGGAACAGACACACACACAAAGAGACACCGAATCTTTCAAAAGGGAAAAAAACCCTTTTGAACTTCCCTCAGGAATTCTTGAAAGGGAGAACCTGAGATTGTAAACACACGGGGTACCGCGCATCCAGGCCGGGGAGGGACATGAGGACTGGGACAAACGTACCGGGAGCTACACATCACAGAAGGAAATGCTCTGTGCTTTCAGTGCTGAGCCCTGCAGCTGTCTAAACAGCGGTTGGCTTATTAGGCACAGGTTGCACAAAATAATTCTCTGGAGCAAAGAGCAACAGAAAGGGAAAGTGCCAAATGCAGACACTGCTCCCCACGGCTCGGGGGATCCGGGCACAGCCAGCCAGGCCCTGCCAGGTTTCGCAAGTTTGCGTCCCGTGACACTACCCTGACACAGGCACCACTTCTCCCCACCTGTGTGGAGCCCAGGTTCAGGCACTGGCCATACTGGAGAGTGCGGGGAGGGGAGGAACAGGTCTCTGCCACCTGGCCTCTACATTTCAAAGGCTGCCCTTTCACCTCCTGCAACAAGGACCTGATTAAAAGCCATTGCATGAGCTGCATGTTTCTCTGCAGGGAGAGTGGTGAAGGGGATAAGAGGTAAGGCTGCTCTGGACAGGAAGGGCCCAATCCCTACCTGCAAGGGCCCTGCCACCATACTAGAGTACTGCCCTGCCCCGACAGACCCCTGATCCCTGCTCAGCTGACAGCACAGCAGATTTGCAAGCCAGATATACAGGGTTCTAGCAAACCAGCTGCTTCCAAGTGAAAGAGTTTCAAGGCAGCTAACACCATCTAATCCCTGGGTGGAATGCCTCTGCCATGCTCGCCTGCAAGGCAGCCAGCACGCTGCCTCGAGGCCCCAGCACCCATGGGCTTCTATCGATTCACCCACCTGTTGCTTCAAGAGGTGCTCAGCTCACTGGGGCAGGGGACTGCTTTATGGTACATGCGTGTGTGTGGGGTCTGGTGCTCCCAGGTGCTGGCCTCCAGCCAGGCCCCTTGGCACCAGAATCCTGGCAGTGTTGGAGACTGGACAAGTGCCATCTCCTCAGACAGCCTCCCCAAGCCAAGGACACTTGGCCCACCACGGGGCCAGAGCTCAGTCCCCAGACTGTGCATGGGTAAGACCAACTTTTGGCAAGGGGGTCTGGAGCTAAGCTCCCAGCTCCTGCACATGGCCAGTGTTCCGGCTGTGCAGTCACTGCTCTTCTGGATCCTTTCAATGAGAAGCAGGGGATGTGGGACAGGACACCTGTATGCAGGACCTGCAGTTCCTCGTCCATGGGGTGGGGGAGAAGGGATCTGAGTTTGGGGCCACCAGCAGCCCTGCCTGTGGGGGTGGGGCTGGAGCTGCGCCATGAATACTGGCCACAGTCTCCTGCGTCCCAGGCTGCAATGTCGCCGCAGAGCCATGTGCCGTTACAACGGCGATTGATGAGATACAGGGACGTCTGATGTCCCTCCAGCTGGGTATTTTTCTCCGTGTCGTCTCTCATTCGCTGAACCCAGAAAAACTCTGTTTGATATTAAGGGCCTGCCTTGGATTCCTGCATCACTACTCCTTTCTAGCCACGGGAACTGGGCTAGAGGGGGAGCCCTGGCACAAAGGGTTAATGGGGGGATGCCAGTTTTGCTCTGAGCAGTTTCCAGTGGTGGAGGGTGTCTCCAGGATGCCGCACAGCTCTGGAAGGTTAGATGCTCTAGGCTCCCATCCCCAGATGAGAGCCAGTTGGTATCGATACAAGGAGGGGGGAAGGAAGGAGGGTCGGTCACACCAAATTCACCTGGAGCTCCATGGAACAGGTCTATCCTCTGCCCATGACCAGCCAGGGGAGAGGAAGGGGAGCCTGGCAGCGGGGTTCGAGAGGTCTGGCTTGTGGCCCTTTGGAACTGTGACTCTTTTCAGCCTGCAGTCCTTCTGGGTGCAGAGACTTCAGGAAGCTCGGTGCACGTGCTGGTTACAACAGAGCGGACTGCCCACCAGGCTGCAGGCATGCTCTGGGCAGCCCACAATCCCAGGCCGACATGGTGGCAGGGTTTCCCTGCCTAGGGGAGCACGCACCTCATAAGGGGTGTGGGTCATCAGCTCTGTGGCCAGCATACATGGAACACGGAGCCCATCACAGGTGCTCTCAGGGAGCAAGAGCTGGAAAACTGGGGTCTGGGTACAAAACGCAGAGTCCCACCAGACAGAAGGAGGGAGGACATGTGCCGAGGTCCCCAAGGCAGACCCACGGGGCAGAGCTCCCCAGTTTCATGATGAGCACCAGTCCAGTCTGAGAGCCAGCAGGACTGCTCTCCTGCACTGGCAAGGGATGGAACTGTTTGCTGCTAACTTTTGAGACCTTAAGGAGCAAATGCAGGATGCCTCCCTGCCCAGAGGACAATTAGGAAAGCCTATGAGCCTTTGCTGCCTAACCGCCGCGCTCCCAAACTACAAAGGCATTGCAGGGGACACAGGCCTGGCTTACACAGCCCAAGCTCCCGTTTGGCTGTTCAGTCCAACTCCATCTCTGCGCAGCCTTTCCTCTTGGGGTACTTGAAATTAAAATCCTTGCTGGCAGGGGAAGAGGCAGCACGCTGTCCTTTTGTGCAGTGGAGGGAGCCGCTGTCTGCTGTCTCATTAGGCATGGGATACGTGCGCAGCTGCTGAGAGACGGCCTCCGCAGCGCCGGAGGTTCACGTCAGTTTAGTAAATCCTCATGTTGGAGGCCAAAGGGCCGAGTGTAAGAAAGGGGCCAGGTTCCAGCTAAAATTACATCCCCCAATAAAGCTCACAAGAGGTCAAATTTTGCCATAACTCACTCTCTCCTCAGTAACTGATTTTCCTGTCGCTGGGGAAGGGGCAGGAGGAGGAAAAAAGAAAATGTGCTTGTCTGGGAGCCCTGAGGGCCTGCCGCACTGGAGGTGTGGAGCAGGTTGCTGGATTCTCATTTATCAACCTTAAAAGGGATGGAGTGATAAATGCACAACCGGCCCTTTAATATTTTATGCAGGTGCTAAAGCGACTTGGCTGTCACCTTCAATACATCACCGGCGGCTGATAAACCAGCTTTCGTCACTCCAGGCTGGGAATTTTTACAATTTCATTTCTCTCCCCTCCTTTCAGATATATCCATGTATTTCTTAATATACGCAACATAGAAGAAGTGATTTCCTTCCACTGATCTCCCTCCGGGAGCGGCTCCCCACTGCACCCTCCCCAGCCACCTCTTCCTGAACACCAAATAAAACATGGCTTTTGTTTAAGATCAGCTTAAAAATTTTTACCCTCATTTTCCCAGGGGTGATAAACACAGGAATCGCTTCCCAGGGGGCAGCAGGGCTGAAAGTCAGTACCTCTCTGAGGTAGAGGCCTGGATGCAAACAGGGTCGACCCCTCCCTCCAAAGGAACAGTCCCCAGGTCAGCCCCTCAGCCAGGCCCGCGATGCCCCGAGTACCTCGGAACCCCCCCTCCAGGAGGGTGGTGGCCCGTATCCGCTTCTGCCCGCACCACTCGTACTCCTCAAAGCGGTTGCCATTCTCATTCTCAATGTCCACGGAGTCGTCCTCGGCCATGCACGAGCCTTCTCTCTGGGCAGGGTGGAGAATGAGACACTCAATTCTTGTACTGGCACGAGGGAACTGCGCCAAGGGGCTCAGGGCAGCTCCTGGGGGTCACAAACTCTGTGGGGCGGGAGCAGCCTCTGGTTTCCCACCATAGACCTGTTTCCAGCAGCCAGAAGCACTCAGCCCTCCAAAGCAACACCAAGCCAAGCAGCAGGAGTCCCATGTTACAGCTATAGCTCCCAGGGTCCAAGTGCAGGCTGTCTTGTACTACATGGCAGGCAGCTGCTGCCCTCACCTGAAGCTGACAACTCCTTGTCCAGGACCCCAGGACAGCTCCTGTCTGCGGAGTCTCCTGGGACACTGAGCTCAGGGAAACTGGTAAAAACCCAGCTCCCCTCATACATGCTTTCCTTGGGGTGTTCTAATGGGGTGTATGCCAGGGGCCCAGAACCAGATCCAACAGGAGGCCATGCAGAGAGCTCAAAGGCTGTGCTCCTCAAAGCAATGCCTCCTCACCTTCTCTGCTCATGCTACTGAGAAGAAAGGGGGCTACACTCCCACATGAGGTCCTCAACTCCTGGCGGGAGATGCACCCGCTATGTTTATAACCAAGCCATTTTAAAAGACAAATGTTCTGATGTTGCCAGGGACAAAAAGCAAGAAAAGAGAACACAGACCAGCTAGTGGGGACCACAGGCTCTAGCTGCCTAGAGCCATGCCGTTTATAGCTCTTTAATGTGGCATGAGCAACATGGAAGAAACAAAGCTCCTAGCATTGGACAGAAGGAAATTGCTACTGAGCCACCTTCTGAGACAGGGAGGGTGACCAGAGCTCTCCGGCAGAGCACCCCTGGCCTCAAACATGGACAGTTAGCTTGTGCTCAGTGTTGTTAGGTTGCCTGCAGACAGAGCTGAGAGTAGGGAGAAGGGAATGGCAGCACCCGTTCCTGCTGCGCCTCTACCTTGGCAAGGCATTGTTCCACATGCCTACTCATCTCCTCCTCGGATCCTGCCAGAGGCCGGCTGCAGAGGGGACATACCTGCCCTTCGTCTTGCTTCCTCCGTTTCATTTTCCCAATCCGAGCTGCATGGAGAAAAACCAAGGAGAGAGAAACAACAGGTCAGGCCCACTGTTTTCCCAAACCTGAAGGCTGCAGCTCAGGGGGTCCCCCCTGTCATCACAAGCCAGTCCTGCCTCATGGAGAATACAGGCTGGAGGGTTCCCTGCCAGCTTTCTGTGGTGAGTGCTTGAGCTATGCACATTTCAAAGATACGTACATGGTCCTGACATGGAGACTAGGACCAAGATCCAGCCAGGATTCTAAGATCCCACCAGGCCCCACTGACCCCATCACAAGTAGCAGGACTGCAGGTGCCTCAGTACCTACCCAGCCCAGGCCCTCTGCAAGGGAGGACTGGCCTTGCCCCTATGGCAAGGGGCCAATGTGGCTGCTTCCCTTCACTGCTAATGAATCTGCCCCCATTTTCCAGGCAGAATCCAGCAGCTGGATCCTAGTCTGCCTCTGCCTGCTCACTCAGAGCCCCCAGCCAGCAGAGATCCCCTACACAGAACCCCAGAGAACTCCAGTCTAGACATCTAGAGACCCCACACACTGCACAACAGTCCTTTTTAGCACCTCAGGCCTCCCTGTATACCTGTGCTTCTCTCCCCCGGGATGTCAGGAACAGGAGGGCAAAGCAGGTTAGAGCCAAGACGACAGCTTTTGGAGGGGCGAAGAACGAGGAACTGTCCGCACCCCATGGGGACAGCTCCTCGTCTTCCCAATCCCCAACGGATCTACATGCATTCTTTATTTAAGAAAAGGGGTTACCATGCTCAGCACAGCAGAAAGGGAGGGGGACGGATGCCTGGGGAGTCATACTGATCTGGAAAAGCAGCCAAGGAAGCCTGCTGCTTAATCCAATCTCTAGTTAATTTAAGCCACCGCCTAATGCGATCGAAACATCTGGAACCCAGTCATTTGCATTCAGAACTTCTGTCCTTTATTGTGATGGCTTTGGGCAGGTGTTATGGGATAGCTCGGGTGCTGGAGGGAGGAAAGGAGCTGCTTAATTAATAAGGAAGGGCAAAATCCTGAATGAGAGACAAGGAAGAGCCCAAGGAAAGCCCGCGCAGTAACGAGAGATGTCATCACCGAGAAGCAGCATTTGCCAGAGATTGCTACTGACATTGTGAGCACCGTCACGTGTGCCGAATGCTGTGACGCCTGCCCTGGCGTGTATGGACAGTGAGATCGAGGGCTCACTGCAACCCAGGAGAGGAGCAC